GGGTAGGTGTTACCAAACTTTTGACTGATACTGCGTGTGTGTGTGTGTGTGTGTGTGTGTGTGTAGTAATCCAACAACGGAAATGGTTTTATTAGGGTCTCTTACAGATACCCTGAAAAATAAGGTAGTTCATGTAATTGTACATCCATATTTCTATGTGAGTGACCACCATTTGCCTGCTGCAGTCCAACATTTCCTTAGCATATAGTTCATTAGGTTATTGACTGTTGCATGTGGAATGCTGTCCTACTGTGCAACTTCTGTGTAAACCTGTCTGATATTGGTGGGATCTGGAACACTGTGTCATATGTGCCAATCCAGGGCCTTCCAAAGATGCTCAATGAGTGACAAGTATGCAGGTCACATGGTCTGCAATGGTGAGGCGGTTGGACATGCTGTCAACTCTAAATTGGCATGGGAGGCAGCTTATGGTGGAGAAATTGACATTTATGACTCTAGCAGCAGCTAGGGGAGATCTCTGCATGCCAATGGCACGGTTCCACAAAACCTGAGACATCTGGGGCATTATGTTGCTCAGCAAAAATGGTACATTTTAGAATTCCCTTTTATTGTCCTATAATAAGGAACACCTGCCTAGTAGTCACATCGATCATTGTGCTGGTGTGCCATCTGTGCACTAGATGGATTATCAATACATGTAAAAATTACTGGGGAAAAAAGCTTTCTATTTGCAAAATTTAAGACATACGTTATTGATATGCAGACAAAAAGATCTTATTTCAAACTTTTGCAAAATGAGAGCAAAGCCAACAGCGTTTATATTTTTATTCAGTGTAGCATGTATACATTTTACCACACAGTAGAGTATGAATATGCTATAGCAAAACATGTCTGTAGAGTCCATACAACAATGAATAGTATGTATGTTATACTGTATCATATAGCATATAGATACTATACCACACAGTACAGTATCAATATACTATACCACAACATCTATGTAGAGCCCATAATATACTGTATAGTACAGTGGTACCTCGGTTCTCGAACTTAATCTGTTCCGGACTCCGGATCGAATCCTAAAAAGTTCGAGTTCTGATCGAATTTTTACCATAAGAAATAATGGAAAACCAATTAATTGGTTCCCGGCCACCCAAAATTACACCTATTTTTTTCTTAATGGCTTCCAAAACGATAAAGATCTTATCCCAACATTACCCATGTCCTGCCCAGATCGTCCACTCCTTCCGTGTGCCACGCCCCCTCGTTAACCTCGTGTGGGAACCCCATGTGATCAGCTGTTTCTGGTTGTTGTCATTAGTCCTCTGTATTAACTCCAAGTTTCAGTTTGTTTCCCCAGTCCGGTCATTGGGTGCGTTCAACTTGCTTATAGCGCTGGCTTAAAGCAACGCATTCTGATCCTGACGCAATGAATTACGGTTAGATGTATTGCGACCTCTCACCCGGCTGCACAAACTGGAACCACCTCCGTGACGACACACCTTTGCCCTTATTGGCTGAAGAGTTTAGCTACACGCATGTATCCCAGGCAGTTCTGATGAATAATCTGCTATTTCTCCTGAATATCACATAAAGCAGTGAGAACTGGTTTTCAGTTAATTTACCTGGTAAAATAAAGTTTAAATAAATGACATAAATGCTCTAATAGTACACGTAAGTTAGTGGTTTATTTATTGTTAGTTACTGTAATGTTGCGCTGCTTTATTTGATTAGTCGTCCAGTCTGTGAAGAAGGCATTCAAGTAAGAATTGCATTGTAGTAATTGTAGTCATTTCCTGGTGCGTACAATTTATATTAGGTCAGCGTTCACGGTTCGACTTCTGATATTCAGTCAAACTGGTTTGTTCGACTTTAAAGAAATTCGAGTTCTAGCGAGTTCGAGAACCGAGGTACCACTGTATATGTTTTTTTCAGATTGGTCACGTGCCCATCGTAGGCGCTTTCGGTGATCAGCATGCGCAGTCTGACTGGTCTGCGGCTGTGCAGCCCCACACGCAGCAAGCCGCAATGCACTGTGTGTTCTGACACTCAGCATGCGCAGTCTGACTGGTCTGCGGCTGTGCAGCCCCGCACGCAGTAAGCTGCGATGCACTGTGTTTTCTGACACTCAGCATGCGCAGTCTGACTGGTCTGCGGCTATGCAGCCCCATACGCAGCAAGTCGCGATGCACTGTGTGTTCTGACACTTTTCTATCATAGCCACCTTTAACTTTTTCAGCAATTTTTGGGGGCCCATGACCTCATCGTCGGTTTAATGGTTAACCTTCCTTAGACTACTTTTGGTTGGTACTGACCACTGCATACTGAGAACACTCCACAAGACCTGCTGTTTTGGAGGTGCTCTGACACAGTTGTCTAGCCATCACAATTTGGCCCATGTCAAAGTTGCTCAGCTCCTCACACATGTTCATTTTTTCTTGATTCCAACACACCAACTTCAAGAATTGACTATTCACTATAGTATATAATGACACCCTTGACATGTGCTATTGTAATGAGATAAATGTTATTCACTTCACCTGTCAGTAATGTTAATGGTACAGCTGATCACTATATATACAATATACTATATAAAATGCTTATCAAATGCTTATGTTTACATACAGTATATGCACACTTGTGACTGAAAGGCTGCTGGGTCGAATCCCTGACCAGCAAGATACCATTGAGGTACCCTGAGCAAGGTACCGCCCCCAAGAACTGCTCCCCAGGCACTGAATTAGCTGCCCCCTGCTATGTCACAATGTCACATGAGGGTTAAATGCAGAGGACACATTTTGTTATTGTGCTGTGGTGTGTCAACAATGAAAATTAATCAATTTCACTTTACTTAAAGAAAGTACCAAAAGTACGGCAGGCCTACTTCTTTGTGATTGTTTTCCACTGGAATAAAATCTGTTACCAGTTTTGACATCACAACACGAAGCAGGATATTTTTGTACGGAATTCGAAAAATGGCTGTAGTGTATTTTTGGGCTGGAACATGTGCGATATTAATACCAGCATCGCATGTTATGCACATGCATTTTTTTCATCGCTAATCAGCGAGACCAAGATCAGGCTTTTTCATACCTTCATACTGTATAGACAATATAGTGCAGGGAATTTAAATTTTGTTTTGTAGCAAGCTTTGCAATTTTAATGATTATTCCTTTTCAGGATTATCTAATATATGTTTAATAATCAGCTTAAAATTTACCTCCGTTGCTTTTGCATGAGCGCTGCATGCGTTCTCTGACACAATCATTTTCATCATTGCTGGTTAAATCACTCTTAGACGTGTTTGTGAGAAACTTATGTTAAACTTCCTTTTTGTTTCATAAATAGTCCAATATTTAATCACAAAAAAATAATACCGTGTTGTCCTAGTATATTGTACAAAATACTTTACTTCTTGTCATGCCATCCTGATCTTTTTGCATCTGTTCTTTCGACCAGATCGCAGTTTAAGTTTGGGTCTCTTCGTTTGTCCATGCATCCATTAGTATTACTTTTTTTTTTTTACTTTGTTTATTGTTGTTTTCCGAGTTCGCAACTTATTTCCTAAGACAGCAGTCATATTGTGTTTAGAAGCAGGGTATTTGCATAATCAATCCACAAGAAAAAGGGTTTCAAGTCCCACCCCAAAGTACCAAAAAAGTATCCAGGCTGGTTTGGCACTTTAGGTACTAAAATTTCTGTTACTGGTACTTGACTGGGAGTGCCCATCGGGCTGTGTGGTGGCGTGCTGGATCGATATCAGGTGTAAACAATATAAACTTGTGTGTTTGTCATGTATTGTGCCGTAATATCATGTGTAGCGCTTAATGCTACCTGTTGTAAATAATGTGTGTATGTGCACCCACCGTGTTGCATGTGAGTAGTCAGGGCAGCCAACATGGTGGGCAGTATTGTACAGTAAGTGTGACCCGTGCCACATCATGTAAGTTAAAAACTTGCACATGCAGTTTCTGCTTCGCTCCGGTCATATGCACACTTGGATGATACCATGTGAAATGAGTTAGCATGTTGGATGTGTTTCCAGCAACATTTGAGTTTGGTAGAACACAGCCAACAGACACTTTTGATATTGTGAACTACTCTGTTCAGTGCTGGTGTAATTTATTTCGAAACCGAAATGTTCCCAAATGGTTGATTATGACTGTGATCAATCTTAGTCGTAGCCAACTCAGTCACAATTACCATAATGTGTTCTGTGTTGAACATCTACTTGTGAATTTCGGTTCCACCTGTGTCAATAAATGTATTCATTGATTCATTGTGTGGACCAAACCAAAAATGATGTACCAAATGAGACACGAAAAAAATGCATGTACTATTACAGCCTGACTAATCCTATATCCTAAATCCTAACAATAACCTCAGACCTTAACAATAAAATGGAACCCTCACTGTGAACTCTAACCCAAAATCCTAAACCTAAACTAAAACTTGTAAAGCCTAACTCTAATTCTAAACCCTATCCCTACACTCAAATTTTAATCCCTAATAACAAACCCTCACCTAGGAAAATAATCCTTAAAAATGTAATGAACAAAATAAAATTGATTGATAAAAAACCCAAAACCCTAATTTAAACCCGAACCATAAATTTTATACTTAAATGACTGCCATAAACCTTAAGCCTAACCCTAAAACCTAACCCTAACCCTGATCATGTACTCTAAATAATAATCTTCATCTTCCCACTCAATCATAAATAACAGTACACAATGCATGTACTAAATCCCATGTGATATTCATACAGTATATACCCACTTAATCAGGACAGGGAGGGGCCACACCAGACACGATACCAGCGCACAAAATGGGCAGAGTATACAAACTATAAACATTGTTAGAGCCATAGCTGATCATTTCATTTCATATGCCTTTCATTATTCATTATACAATAATTTCATATTTGTCTTATTTCACTGTACTTATTATTGATTTTGTCATTGAGGTGATAGTAGCATCTGTTTCTGTTGGCAATAATGTGTAAATCGAGACCCCTATATGTAGATGTGGGGCCTCACCTTCGATGGCAAACGGCTTCCCCACAGTCAGCAGCTTGCAGTCAGCATCGATGGAAACCTCGTAGTCCAGCAGCGCCTTGTCCATGATGAAGGCGTCCAGCTGGGGAGGATCTGACCTTCAACACAGTGGGGAGAGGGTCTGTCAGATGTCGGCGTGAATCCCCCATCTTCGGCTCGCGGGTGGAGTACACATCTGTCACTGCTTCATCAACTCGGCTGATAATAACACGTATTATTTCTCGAGGGAACTTACGCTTGATTACAGGAACAAGGACAGTTAATTAACACTTTAGAAAGGATTAAACATCACAAAAGTAAATACAGCCAGTGGTAAGGCAAATATGGAAAAATATGTTCCATGGGCACCAGATTACTTCATTACTTTGCTGACCTCTGTTCTGCTGCAGACCACTTCAATCATAATGGATTAATACTCATAGAGATGCTTAGAATGGAGCTCACTGCTGATACACATCTTTGTGGTGAGCTAAGGGGTCTACCAGCCCCACTCCTAACCACAGGAATTAATTCAAGGTTATTATGAAATACCACTTATACTTCTGTAATTCTGCCCATTTTAAAGTTTATCCAAGGAACTCAGGGGAACCATCCAGAAAATTCCAGAATTGTCTAAGAAACCAATCTGTTGAAGAAGACACAGGGATACCTGTACAAAACATGTTGAAAAAAACTGAAAAATCTGAAAAATGTCAGCAGAAAATTTTGGAAAATCTCATTTTCCCAGCCTCTATTTCACTTTCTTTTCAACAAAGAAAAGCCCAAACATACAGCCATCCACTGGCCTTGGCCATGGTTCTGAAGCCATGACAAGGTTCTCGCCATATCTCTGAATGAGCAGAGCTTCCCGGGGGCCGGGAGACCACACTATGTTTCTGAGCTTTAGCCTCGGTAACCACCGTTAAAATGTCCTGCGTTACACTCTCTTCTTAGGCAGATGCCATTTAGCATATAGCTAATTGTGTGAGAGCAAACACACAATCCGTTACCCCTGTCAAATATAGGCATATATTTATAGACTTCTATGTCACAGACTGCTGACGTCCCCCCCCCAGAACCTGGATTGGCCAGAGCCTCGTAATTGGACCCGCTTACTTGAGCGTGGAGACCCCATCCGGTGTGGTTGGCTCGTTGAAGCGCCTCATATACTCGTACATCTCAGGGAAGCTCTTCTTCATGTAGTCTTCGGCGCTGCTCTCCCTCACCGTTCCGAAGCGGAACCCATGCGAGGGGTGGTGAAGCTGAGGAGGGGGGGGGGGTTATAATGAGTCCCAAAGTCATGCTGTGTGTTAGGAAAACTGGGCTGTGATTCTTAACACAGATATGAAGCTGCACATGCAGTGATGGCCATTTCACATTTATTTATTTAGCAGAAATCCAGAAACGACACAAGCGAGGATCAGACAGTCCAAGGATCAATTGTGGTTAAGAGCTTCGCTTAAGGGCTCAACAAATAGGGTGTGGAGCGGCAACCTTCTACTGGAAGTACCGAGCCCTAACCCACGGAGCCACATGCCAAAGCCAAGCGGCCGGGTTTTTCGATACCCTAAATTCTGCTCGTTTTATGACGTTTTTCAGATCCCTAGTGAAGGACACATGGATTAATTTAGGACCTAGCCAGTTACTCTTTTCACACTTATGACAAATAACTTTCATTGTGGCAGATGTCAGTTTCATGATCATGGGTTAGTAACTGTCAGGCTTGCAATAAATTGCATCATTAAATAATATAAAAGTGTTCCTGTTTGCCAATTATATGTAAATAAGGTAACAGAACAGTACACTGTTTTCATGGGAGCTACTGGTTCACAAAAAGCCTTCAAACTTCACTAGAAGGATGCAGAAGTTCTCCAAGGCTCCCATGTCATTCCGTGGGCCCGAACTGACAGCTTCAGGCCAAGAGCACAAAAACCTGCACTGGACCACCATCAGTAAACAGAATAACTTTTCCTCCAGTAGCCTTTTATACACTTAAGGTCATGCTGATCTGGATCTGGTGCGACGGACTGCAGGTCCTTCACAGGGCTTCTCCAAAATCACAGACAGAAAACATCTTACGGTCAGCAATTCATTTTCCCGAAAGGTTTTTAACTGAGAAAGGAAGCACACATCTATCAAGCTGCATGTACAGGGGATCCATGCTGTGGACAGATACAGCAGTTTCAGCTCACATGTATGGAAATAAATCTCCATTGAACTGCTGTCAGCAAAGCAATTTGCCCTGCAAAGGACCAGCAGTCCATCTAAGGCAGAGCTGTGGTACTCGAATTCAGACATGGACTGGAGTCCAGCCTCGAGTCCACATATGAATGGACTGAATTTTGTCATGTATTCGGGTGATTGTTGTAATTATAATCCTTATGCCAGAAATTCTCTTTTTCACAGCACCCACCTGCTCCACAGAGACACAGGTGAGAGTGAAGTTTGGGAGCAGATCGCAGGGTCAGTTAGTGTTCAGCACCCCTGGAGTAGTTATGTTTAAGGGTCTTACTCAAGGGCCTAATGGTGGTGTAGCTGATCTGCTGGGAGTAGGAATCAGACCAGCAATTTTTCGCACAAAGGAGTCTTAACCCCCATTGTGCGCATTTAAGCCATGAAATGTTCACAGCACTTGTGCTTCATCAAAGCAATCTGTCAATGTTGCAGTGTGGAGAGTACCAATCAGCATAGATATCTGCCCCTGAACACTGTGTGCGCACTTTATCTACATTGTGTACTTTAAAAAAATTACAAAATGTTTAATAAAAAGTTTGTTAAATACCCATTGAAAGAAATTTAAGTTTTATGTATATTCTTTGGTTCTAAAATCAGAACCAAATATGTTCCACAGGATACAGTCATGTTACAAGGGAAATTAATAATTACTACAGAATGCAGTGGAGGTGTTTCTATTACACTTGTGTTTGACAAATCATATACTTCTAAGATGAAAATAGTTATTTCTTAGTTAGTTTTATACAAATAAAATTTGAAGTATTCGTTAAGCCTTTAATTGATTGGTTTTTAAATTCAGGCACATGGTCCAGAACTGAACTGGTGTTTTTCTGTCATCTGTTCTATCTCAGACTTATCCCCCTGTTGGACTCGGTCTCGACTCAGACTCAATTTGTTAGCGATATGGTCTTGACTCAAACCCAGGAAGGGTGAACTCGATCATAACACTAATCTAAGATACAGCTCCTTACACCGGCACTTCTCAGGGCTTCTAGATGGTGCTGGACTCAGACGAGCAGCCCACGAGCTGCTAGAAGACCAGCCTTAGCCATCCCCTATACACTCTGCAGGGGCATTGCTAGAAATTCCAGACCCCCTGACAAAATGTCACTTTTGGCGAGTTTTACATTTTTACATATAATTTTATGTATTCAGGGGCCCCTGTATCTGTCAGGGTTTCCTTGCCCCCTCTGCACCCCTGACAATGCACCCATGTCACTTCCACTCTGTATGCATATGCTCGCTTACTTTACTTTCTAACTTTCTAACTCCTCACCACAATCAGGTATGGATAGATGTTACATTTGGTTATTTATCAGACAGTTCTGTCCTAAATACAATCGAGACAGCAGCAGGCTAAACCACTGGGCCCATGATTGGAAGGTTTTTGGTTCAAACCCAGCCTCAGCAGAACAGTCACATGTCCGTAGGGCTTTGATCAAGGCGCTTAACCCCCAGACCCCTGGGTGCTGCTGCAGGTGGCTGCTCTTCGCTGCCAAGCTTGCTGTCACCTACATATGTGTCTGTGTGTCATGGAGAGCAAGATGGGGCAGAGGGAAGGATAATTTCTCTATCGGATCAATAAAGTGTCATTATTATTTTTTCAGACTGTTTCCCCAGTTCTCCGCCAAGGGAATGGCAGCATCGTTCTGTCAGCCATGGAATTTGAACCAGCAACCTTCCAAACAGGAAGCCCACTGAGCCAAAAGTGCCATCATCGGTCACTTTCACCTCTGCCATATTAGTAATGTTAGAACTTACAACATACACCCATAACAAACACAGGATGCACATAAAATGCCGGATGTCCCCAGTTGGGCCACTGACCTTGGCGTCATGGATGCCAGACAGCTCCTCGAAGGTCTTCTCACCTACCATGACGGCAGCCAGGTTGGCTGTGTAGCTGGAGAGCACCAGCAGGCAGAAGATGGCCCAGAGGTTCATGAGGAAGCGGCCTGTCCAGCACTTGGGAGTCTTGCTGGACACCGTCCTGCCGAAGAGGATGGCGTAGCACAGGTTGAGGGCCGAGGAGTAGGAGAAGACCTTGACGCGGTTGCGGCCATGTGGTGTCATGCCGAAGGGGCTCTTCCACTCATAGAGCGTGAGGAAAAGTGCGGTGATGTGTAGTGACACGAAAATGCCCATCCACATGGACCAGTGCAGGGGCCACATGAAGGCTCCAATGGGGGCGGCGGTGTCCTTACTGCGCACCAGGATGCCCAGGCTGGTGGAGAAGAAGGGGATGGTGAAGTCTATCACCTGGCTGCGGGCAGAGTTGATGCTGAAGCTGGTGACGGCCATATCGGCGGCCCCTCTCAGGAGGTCGCCCACCAGCCCCGTCCAGCGCCCGCCCTTCCACGCCCCGTACTTGCCGTCACCCACAATGTAGAGATTGAACTGGAAGTGCATGTCCTCGGCCAGCTTCTCCAGCAGGTCGATGCAGTAGCCGTAGCAGCACTTGCGGATGTCCTTGGGGAAGGATGACTTGTTGCCCTGCTCCAGGTCGTGGAAGAGGCGGTCTAGAGCGTCAGAGTCGTTGATCCGTGGGTCCAGGCATAGCTGCCCAGCGGGGCAGCTGCCGTCCTCGTCCACCTCGCGTGTGAATACAAAGGGGTGCTCCACCAGTGTGACCACACGCAGCCGGCTGCCTGCCACCGGCACTGAGGCGTCCCAACGGACATCCCTGCGCCGGTCTTGCCCCACTGCCTGCTGTCGCTGCGAGGGCCCCGGCCACAGGCCCTGCTCCTCCACCTGCAGCTGGCTGCCCTCCCAGCTGCCCACTGTTACCCAGGCTGGCTGCCCCACTGCATCCCGCCGCAGGCTCCAGATGTGGAAGCGCTGGGATGTGAGCACGCGGGAGATGTTGCGCTGGACCTTGACAGGGCCAGTCAGCCCCAAGAAGGACGTGTTGGACAGGAACCTGAAGGACAGAGGAGGACAGAAGAGGCCTGTGACAGACATCTGACCTGCTGCATATATCTGCCTGGCAACAGACGAGCCTAATTTATACCCCAGGATCTCGGACCCCATGGCAAGTAACCGTGAAGAGGCACAATCTGCCTCAAATGACTGGGACGCAAAACTTGCAGCTAGAAACCTTCCCGTAAATTAGCCTCGTCATGCCTCTTTGGAGATGAGGTCACCCAGGGCTGAGAGGGTGGATGCATCCACCTCACTGGCAGGTTCTGACTTGAGCTAATGACAAATGCATCGATGGCGTGTTACGCGTGACCGCAGCTGAACTCCGCAGCGAGACACCCAAGGGGAGGGGGATCAAAGCGCGTCAGCTGGTCTGCGCCTTCCCATCATTCATTTCACCTCTCTCTGTCTACTGATAGTCTCTCCCTTGGAGAGGTAGGTATTGAAAAGTTTGGTCTTGTCCTTAATGAAGAGACATGTCACTCAAAAGTAATCCCTTATTTCTGTGTTGTGATATTTATACATGTGTTAAAATAGCAAACAGAATGTTCCACACACACTGTCCGGTCAAAAAAATCCATTGATGGTATATTCTGGCTGTTCAGTAGATTCAGGTACTCAGCTGACTTTATGGCTGCATAACAGTGATCCAATCATTGTTTAAGTATTTGCTGACTTAAATTCAAATGACTTCTTTTTTTTTTGCCCAGGCAGTGTGTGTACATATGTGTGTGTGTGTGTGTGTGTGTATTTAAGACATTTAAGATATATGGTGGTGTTTCCCTCAATTTGTTGATGTAAAGCAAACTCAAGTCAATCTCCTCATGGATGAAAATGGATGGGTTGATGTTATAAATATGTTATAACATCAACCCATCCATTTTCATCCATGAGGAGATTGACTTGAGTTTGCTTTACATCAACAAATTGAGGGAAACACCACCAAACATCTGTGTGACCTTCCTGAACAGCTACAGACAGCATCGTGTCCTTAACATCCCTGGACAGCCCAGCATCACATTCTCTGCTTCCTGTCCCACAGAGCCAAGGCACCGGCTGCTTGGCACAGCAGCTCCTATTCCCACTGTGCCTTCCGGCGCTTTTGAATACGGATCTATCGCTGTGCTGCACCCTTCTCTCTTCTTGGAAGAGATACGGCCCAGAAAGCTCTGTGCTGATTGGCTTTGGGAGACTTAGCAGGGCTGTGCTAAAGGCCCATCCGATAAGAACTCTCCCCCCGGCAGCAAAAGTGACTCACTAAAACTCATGAATAGCTTAACCCCCCCCACACACACACACATTTGCATTGTGGGTCTGCCTGATCGCTCTCAGTGTGCGGCATGCTTCTCTGCTGCTTAAGAGAAATAACTGCAGGTTACATCAAAATTAAAATGTGAAAGGAAAAGGGATTGCGGAGAACTTTTCTGATGTACCAAATGCTCGTTTTGTAAGGAAAATAAGATGATTTCTTTGAAATTCTTTGAAATTCACAGAGAGTTCCTCGCCTCGCCTGCCTGCCGCTGTACAACGCCACCCTTCCACCCCGCCGACGGAAGCAGCTTCCTGGCCTGCCTGCCGCTGGACAGCGGCGCCCTTCCACCCCGCCGACTGAAGCAGCTTCCTGGCCTGCCTGCCGCTGGACAGCGGNGAAGCAGCTTCCTGGCCTGCCTGCCGCTGGACAGCGGCGCCCTTCCACCCCGCCGACTGAAGCAGCTTCCTGGCCTGCCTGCCGCTGGACAGCGGCGCCCTTCCACCCCGCCGACTGAAGCAGCTTCCTGGCCTGCCTGCAGCTGGATAGCGGCACCCTTCCACCCCGCCGAAGGAAGCAGCTTCCTGGCCTGCCTGCCGCTGTACAGCGCCGCACTTCCACCCCGCCGAAGGAAGCAGCTTCCTCGCCTGCCTGCCGCTGTACAGCGCCGCCCTTCCACCCCGCCGAAGGAAGCAGCTTCCTGGCCTGCCTGCCGCTGGACAGCGGCGCCCTTCCACCCCGCCGAAGGAAGCAGCTTCCTGGCCTGCCTGCCGCTGGACAGCGGCGCCCTTCCACCCCGCCGAAAGAAGCAGCTTCCTGGCCTGCCTGCCGCTGGACAGCGCCGCCCTTCCACCCCGCCGAAGGAAGCAGCTTCCTGGCCTGCCTGCCGCTGGACAGCGCNGAAGCAGCTTCCTGGCCTGCCTGCCGCTGGACAGCGCCGCCCTTCCACCCCGCCGAAGGAAGCAGCTTCCTGGCCTGCCTGCCGCTGGACAGCGCCGCCCTTCCACCCCGCCGAAGGAAGCAGCTTCCTCGCTTGCATGCTCTGACATCAGCAGGATCTTCTGCATTTATACACAGTTTTAATTTATAAACTGGGACTTTATTTTGGATTTCAGATCAGTTAGGGCGATTTTAGAGTCTGCGTTTGCAAATCAGGTATGGGCCTCATGATGAGTAGAGATCAGTTAGAGCGATTTTAGAGTATGCATTTGGAAAAGTCCCCATTTTCACTCATCCATACTGCAACTCTAAAACAGAGTTTTCAGAAGCACAAGACTGTGAGACCATTTACGAAGATTTTCATTTTGGGGGGTTGAAAACTCCAGGGAAGTATGGATGAATGGCAAAACCTGAGACTATTGTCTGTATTTTTGAAAATGAAATGAAAGCATAGCAGTGTAGACATAACCCTTTAATGGATCTGTTCCTGTCCCCCAATAAGGAAATAACAGCGATGCCCTTGGATGGACAGATGACTGGAAGGATGGATGCCATCTTCCCACACTTCCTTAAAGAATGCAACCGGAGCCTGCTAACCTGGCGATGTACTGCCCGGAGGAGGGCACCTCATGCTTGTTGGGCTTGTCATAGCAGTTGACCATGTTCTGGATGAGCGCCAGGTCAGGCCGCACCACGGTGGCAGCGGCAACAGCCCGGGCCACCAGCTGCAGGGCATCACGGATGTAGAAGTCCAGCGGCTTGCGGTCCACTTCCCCGTAGGCCAGCAAGCCCAGCGGCAGACCAATGGAGTGCAGCGTGTCCGGGCTCAGCGGGTGTGCCATGACCCAGTGCATGGTGGGCAGCGCCAGGCCCAGCTCATGGGCGCTGTGCAGCACTGTGGCAGCGCACTGCGGGTCGCCGCCGAACAGCAGCACCGAGGTGGGCGGGGGCCGTGCCTGCCGGAAGTGCTTGGACAGGAACTCGTGCACCTCCATGTCCTCCTGCTCTGCCTCTGACAGGTTGAGGGCCCCGCGCAAGCGCCAGCGGGCCCCAGGGCCACCCTGCCGGCTCTGCAGCTTGAGCAGCTCCAGCACTCCGGCCTCCTCCCAGCCCTGACACAGCACTGCCATGCCCTCGTTCCAGCCACTTCGCCGCAGCACCGTCAGCAGTAGCTCCGTCAGGCCCGACGGTGGGATCCGTGTTGCCATCTGCAGGTGGAACCGGTTCTGTGGCAGAGAGGCATCAAAGATGAACAGCTGGTAACTTATAGTGTTATACCAACATGATTGGCCCTTTGAAGCACAAGTGCTAAGCATATAATGCTGCTGCCCATATAGGAGTGCCGTCCTGGTGCTCTGGGTCAGGGCTGAACTAAGCAGTTGCTTAGGGCCCAACGACCATCAGGGGGACACCAATCTGATCAGACAGTCAGAATGGCAAGGAATGGCAACTAGGTTCAAACAAATTTTGCTAAGGGTCCTCTGCGGAGGAAACTCATTTCTGCCATTTGTATCCATGATCTGATTGTGTTTCGGTCATTACCTCATTTCAGTCCTATCCTCATGACCATAGATGACTGGTAAATCAAAGCTTTGCCTGCTTGTGCTTTACCATGACAGAATGGTACAGCGTTCACATTACTACTGATGCTGCACCGATCCGTCTCTCGATCTCGTATTTCTTCCCTCACTCGTGAATAAGACCCTACCCATGGGGCTCGGCTGGGCAAGGTAGTCTGAATGAATTGGTAGCATTATTATAATTATTTTGCTTAAATTTCAAATTAAATTTAGATATCATGAAACTAGCCTAGTTTTTATCTCAGGTATGATCACTCTATCATGATTGGACCGAAATAGTCACGTGTCACACATTGGAGGGTATAATGTGTAATATTTACAAAATATACAGATTGTCCTAACTACAAACAGAGTAATAATAATTTTGTGATTTACATGTGTTATACTGTTAATTGTGAAATGAAAAATTAGTTTTGTAATACTAGTGATGGAATAAGAGCTCAACAGGCAAGACGTAGTGTGAGGTAGATCTACCAAAATAGCGGAAGTTCACTCTGGTGCCAGTGATGTTTTATTGTTTATTCAATGTGGTGGATTTTTTGGTATATAATTATTGTGTTTCATATAAGGAAAAACTGCACTCTCTGCCAATGAATGTTTGAATGTATGGTTGGACATTGGATTTTTTTCACTGTAATATTAAGGAATGATTGCTTAAAGGAAGGCATTCCTTTCTATTCTACTGCTATATAATACTTCTTTAAATTTCTTTGAGATTATGCTAAATCTTAATGGAAAGGAGTAACAAAGTTAATCTGATCTTTAATCTATCTTGTTCAAGTATTTCTTTTCCAAATCGATCTATGCATCCGTTAAAACAATAGAGCATGTATTTCTGGTCTATTGAATGAGGGAGATTCATTGACTAAAACATTCAGCAAAACAGTCTGCGATTTGATTCAGGCTAACTTACATTTAATGTATATATGTAGGCCTATGTGTATGTAGTATAATAACTGTATTCAATAGACCACAGCAATCCATACATGACAATGAAATAAGTGATTAAATCAAAAGCAGTAACAACGAAAGCATGACCCAAGTGAGTTTGGCGGCAGCCAAACAGTGAAAAAAAAACACTCATACTTCTAAACATAGTGAACAAATACCAAGTGACATTTGGATACCAAGTGGAATACCAAGTGGAATTTAATTTGGATACAGTTAGATAATCAAGCATAATGTTTTTTATGATTATTGAGCAGATGAATGGAAGAAAGCAGAAAAAACTGCTGTAACTTTTATAGCTGCTTATATTATCCATTTGCTATTCTTTTTTTTATTTACAAGAGAGTTATGGTGATAAGTCTGATCGCAGAAGAAATGCGCCTTACAGTTTTGCATGCCTGGTGTTTTTTTTATTTTTTATTCATTCATCAGAAAAGTGCCCTGTCATGTTTAGGGGACATGACTATAGGCCCATGGGTGCAGAGCACGACGTGTTGAAGAAGTTGCTCCACCCATTGTTTGTATGTAAAACAATTTAAGTGACACACAATTTTCTTGCAAATTTCATACAAATAGGATGTGTTATAGGACAGTTATAATTATAGTTCATATGTGGAATATGATTTAGAAATACACTCTGCACGGCGATCCGTAGAGCTTATAGCGCAAACAATATTATATAATTTGCTGACAACTGAAGTGTTACAGTATATGGAGAAATGTGGGAAATTAAAACCAGCATACTGGATGAACTGGTATATCACCCAGCGCTATTCTGCAGACTGTAAAATGTTTGTTTGCAAGGGAATATCACATGGCTGTCAGTACAAAAATATACAGTGACTGGTAAGCAGACTAACTGGTGGAAGGTTATATCACTGGAGCAGGATCCACACCTGTGTCTGCAGCCAGAAGCTGCACAGTGTGACTTCATCAATGATGCGCTGCTTCGACTTCCCCAATATGGTGGCCAATTCATCGCAGTTGCAGGCACTTGACAGCAAGTCCAGTAAATATACGTCATTGGTATTAGCATTTTACTTCTAACTGAATGAATCGGAATGTTTGTGATGTGATGCTTGGCAATATTAGGGTATATGCTGGAGTAGAGTGAGGCTTCATTTATTAAAATTAAAAAAGCAACAATTTAAATGTGCTTGAGATAACTGTCTCCTGAAAATTAGTTATATAAGTGCATAATTTACCATAAGCAATGCTTAACTGTTTTTTCTGCACTGGTATCCTTGTAGTACCAGTATCATGATACTTAGAGCGGTATTGGTACCAAGGTCATCGTTTTGGTGACAACACTACCGTAGACCAAAGTGATCTTTTGCCACCATGTTTGTGAAATGTTTGTTGCTGAGGCATCTGTGTGTGTACAGCCTCTACCCTAACCCTAACCCAATGCCTTTCTTCCAGGTCTGGTTAACTTACGGTGTACATGTATGTGTACAGCCTACCCGATGCCTTCCTTCCAGGTCTGGTTAACTTACTGTGTACATGTGCGTGTCAGTCGTATAACTGACGCCATGTCTGTGTTCTGTACCCAGGAACAGTTAGCTATCACAGTAGATGCCTGCCATGTTCGAGTCCGACTAACCACACTCTGGCCTACCTCGTCAAGTGGGCCCAGGCACGGTACGGAGCAATCACATTAGTCAAATGAGTAGGACTTTGGGGGTCAAAAGTGCTTGGGAATGGTATGGATTGGCTAGTGTGAGTACACCTTCAGAAGCGGTTCCCTGTGGCACAAATCTAAGCTGTTCCAGAGACGCAAGTCTAGCCACCCTCAGGGTGTAAAATTTCCCCGTGATCCTGGATCAGAATCTCAACCCATCTGCTGTGACCCCTTCCTGACTTTGTCTCCTTAAGGTGAACTTCTGTGAGTCCATGTAAAAAAAAAAAGCACTAAGATAAGCGACAGTGATTTAGTATTCGGAGCATCAGCACACAGTGATCCAGCCACATTAATCAAACCTTGATCTTCACAATCAGCGAAGGGTTTTCCCGGGGGAAGAGAAAGGGGGGCTTTGTACCGTCATGTAGTGGGAATCAGACGCTCACTGAGATCAGAGAGGCTGGAAGTTTGGGGGGGGGGGGGTGCAGAATTTTGTATGTAGGAGAGGTGGTGAGGCTTTTAGGGGGTGCAGAATGAGGAGTGTTTGCAAGGAACATTACCCAGAAGGCAGGAAAGACGTGATGAAAACCAGGGCGTGTTCACCAAAAAGGTACATTCATTTAGCTGTGGTAAACCCCCCCCTCCCCCATTTGTGTGGCAGACAGAATGAAAGCCCACACAGCAACTGACCTTCAAAGTCACGAGGAAAAGTTTGTGAACCCTTTGGAAGAGGTATATCAACCTTGAAGATAATGACCTCTTGAAATGCAGGCAACTGGTGTTCCAATCATCTCAGCCGTGCGTTTGAGCTGACCTGCCCCCAGCTTACTGCCATCTTCCCATCCGTGCCTCATGTGACGCTGTTGACCGTCCCAGCAGGGGTGAGTGTCACAGCATAACAAAAGATCGACTATCATTTTGCGAAGTCAAAGAAAACAGAAGGAGCGAG